AGCTGCAGATGGGATACTTAAATACATCAAGTTCCTTAGCACTGGGTGATAAAGAAGTACAGCACATATGTAGACACTACGTTTTTCTTCCAACTTCTTCTAATTGTAATTCCAGTTTTTTATTCCAGATTCTTTTGAGTTTGAAAAATATTACTACAGCATTTGGTCCACTGCTGTTAAGAGAAGAAATCACTCTCAAAGTGGTAGAACCTTCCAAAAAGCTGTAACTATTCTGTAAATTACTGTAACTATTCTGTAGATCACTCTAATTCTGATGATCAGTGTTACTGACCTACAATGTGAATCAGGCGCATTGTTTGCAAAAATTAGACCCTGGAGCAAAAAAACTTAGAGTCTAAGCATTTTAATCATGTACATTTATTATCCTTAACATTTTTCACCTCTTTTTTAGGGAGTAAATCTTTATGCAGTGATGGAAGCTGGAAATTTCATCTGCACAGCTTTGAACAAGAAAACAAACTCAAAGGTTGCACAAGCTTCCTTCAATACTGGGACTGTCAATTAAATGGATTTTTTTTTTGCAGCTTGATCACATTTTTCATCTACCTTGACGAAGGACATTTATATCAGGAAAGCAAACATAAGAAAACCACTTCAGCAAAGAAGCAAAATAGAATATATAATTTTTTTATTATGGGAAGAATTATTGTACTGTACTGTCTTGTTAAGAATTGCCTGATTTGTAAGTAAGAAATAAATTACTGTAGTAGAGAACCACATGCTTGGTTCTTCTACAGAGGAGGAAAAAATGAATTTTTAGTTCTTTTCAGGAAAACTGGATAGAAACAGTGAATACATAGTTAATTTTTAATCAAGATGACTTTCAGAACAGTACAAATATTTGCAGTAGTTTATGAGATCCCAAGCTGTGTGTGGCCATTCTACTGTGTTTTATTTATCTGAATCTTTACTTTTCATTTGTCAAGTTACTTGTGTTATGAACATGGAGACAAATCTGAATTCACCATAAGAATTTTTTAGCAACAGAACTTTTTTTAATTTTGTTTTGTTTAACATCTGTGAAATTATAGATGACTTTAGTTTGTTCCAAGACATTGTGGTGAGTGGCAGTCTGCCAGATCCTTCAAATATAATGCAAATTTCCTTATTTGTTATGTATGTTAAATTTGTTGTAGTTGCCTTTTCTCGTCAAATTATTAAAACCTAATTATATGAAGCAAACAAAAATTGTCAAGGTCTTCAACATCATTCAGGTTCATAGTAGTAGAAGGGGTGAAATTTCATCCAAGGTCTCATCAAACAATTCGATTTTTCACTCTATAGGCTATGAATTGATATTCTCCCTCATCAGTCATGAGCCTTTTAGGATAACAGAATTCTGCTGCACTAGCTTACACAACAGGAACCACTTATAATTTTTTTCTGTGCTCTACTGATAGTGATACTTTGTGAGCATCTTGATTTGCTTGACCTACCCTGGATGCGTGTTTGGATCACCACAAAAAAAGCTCTGTCCTCTTTTTCCCATGTTTCAGCTGAGGCTTTGTTATTTAGCAGACACTATGGCTCATATATCAAAACATGAACTTAAATAAAACCAGGTTTTGAACCATTCACAGATTTTAAAATTCTGTAATGGATTAAATCCAATGAAAGTGAGGAATCTGCAGCAGTATTTAGGCTGTACTTAGACTAATAATTAGTAGTTAAGCCTAAACTTGGTGCCAGAATTGACATCCTAAATACTCCCTAATTTCAGTGCCATTTACCCCTGAAGGTGACTAACCACACTGTAATACCTTCCCATTTAACAATAAATTTTCCTTTTAGTTTTCTCTGTGGAGGCATAGAATTGGCTCATTTTGAGCTTAAGTATGCAGTTCTCATGTAGGGCCTGATGAATTTTCTTCCACCCAAGACCCTGTGAGCAGGTTTAATCCACATAAACAAGATTTAGTTTCTCCAAGAATGCAAATGAAGTCAGCCCTTGGAAAAAAATAAAAAGCAGCTGTGATGCAAACCACCTTTTAAATATTAGCCTGAATGTCAGAGTAGGCAAACTATGTGAGACTAAGCTTGCTGCTCAGCCTGGGCAGATTCAAGTACACATTTAATCAATGGATCTAACCACCCCTCTATATACATAACTGAAAAAGAACACACTTTCAAGTAGATCTGCATGAAGTTGTGCCATTGAGTAGGATGGAATTAAAAATTCCTAAGACCAGAAAGATCACGAGGAAAAACATCTCTGCAACAGATTGCAGAGTTCTTTTCCTTGACGGTGGGTGGTGAGGGCTTCAGTTGTCAGCCAAGTTAGGAACTGAACACATACTGTCCTTTTTTTTTTTGTTAAATATACTAACCACAGCACATTAGATAAAAATAAGTGGGTTTACTACTAACACAATTTTTGTGTTCAATAAAATACATATGTAGAACATAAGACTATAGAATAAAAGGACTAGCTCTGCTCAGTTCTGTGGGAATTCTAGAAGTCTATGTTCCTAACTACCATGAAGCCTTGCTAGCTTTAGCTGTAGGAGATCCTTACACTGTGGAGGAGTTTTCCAGTATGTCTCTGTGCACAGCACATCATATCATAGCCTTTTGGGCTCTCCAGTTTGCAATTCTAAGGCTCTTAACTCTCCCTATGCAGTGAAACAGGGTACCTATTAAATGATGGGGATGAACAAGCTAAAATGTCTCAGTTCGTTATTGGATCTGTTTTACAAACTACTTGGAAGCTGGTCTGTTATTCTATAATGATGTGAGCACTGGAAAAGATGAGCAGTCATATCTGGAGCCTGTTTTATACCCACACGTTTAGCTTCAACCTCATAGTGAGTTATAGTAATCTGGGGTGGAGGTCACAGACAAATAGATTGTTTGTCAGGATTGTTACAAGACAGAAAGAAACACACAGAATAAAAAGAACCACAATAAAACAACCAAACAAAAACCAACTTAGTGTTTATGTGCCAAAAACGCCACATGGGATGAATTTAGGTCTGTGGGTCCAGGTGAGCAATCCCTGTAAAATCTTTGTTTACTTGTAGCGTGACTGAGAGTCCTGAAACATCTCATGTTCTCACTACTGAAATTTTTTAGGCATGTGAAGTGCTTCTGCTCTGCTTTCCTGGGTTTGCATCATTTTTACTGAGCAGAACATTTTGACACCTAATCTTTAGCTTCACAGAATAGGCATATGTTTCTCTTAAGATCAATAGCTATGCTACACTCCTTCAAAAACATGTCAAGCCATGGGATGATGTTCTCCAGTGCTTCTGACTTCCTAATCTTTATGCTTATATTCAGAGTGACCCATCAGTAGTGATGTCTGTTCTTTTAGTCCCTACCAGTGTCCTCCACTGAGTACACTGTTGTCACTTCACCCTGAAGTAACCCTCTGGCTGTGGAAGGTTTGCATCATGGTTTCCATGAGCAGGTGTTCTTATCACTGTGTCATTATAAAAATTACATATATATTTTTATTTGTGGAAAGGTATCAAGAAAAATCAACAGAGTTCTGAATACCATGATCACACTGTTGAGATGTGGGGACATGCTGTTTCTCTGTACTGCTGTTAATGGTGAAAAGGCTCTGAGAGCATGTGGGAGGGAAGAACTAGTTACTGACTGCCCTCACCAAGTCTTATTGGAGACAAATGAGATGTACCAAAGCCTCTATGCTTTGGAGACTTTCTTCTGTAGCACACTGTATCAAAGTCACTGGAGAGATCTCACAGAACAACATGGAGATCATCTTCATGTGCCAAGGCCATGGAGTACGTAAACTGGAGTTCCCAGGGCAGTCTCTGGCCTGTGCTCTGGTCTGAACCTCTGGAGGTTCAACAGCTAACCAGTGTCATATTGCTGGAATTTTCTTTAATACTTTCACAGTAGTTTTTCTTTATCCCATGTTGTTGGCAATAGCTAGAAAAGCAAATACTGTCTTCTTTGGCTAGTCAAGATATTACATTGTTCTAAAGGCATGGCTGGTGTGCTTTTCTGGAGGACAAGTTGATCAGTTCCATTACTGTGGGCATAATCATTCTTCGGTGCCTTTCAGAAGACAGCAGTGACATGGATCCATACATGGATAGTGCTCTTGTCTTCCAGCAGCACTTGGTTTGTAGTTTAAACTTTTATGTATTAGGGCAATTTGGCTCTGGACCAGCACTTTAATGTTTCATTTTCATGTATAACCAGAGTTTATGGAAAGAAGAACTAAATATTCTGGTCTTGAGAATAAGTCCAGAGAGGCTTTGGCTAATTTTCCTCTCTTAATAGCGTCATTTGAGTTCATAAAACTTTTATTATTGTATTAAGGAGTCACAAAATTAAGACTGCAAGTCTGTGAGGTAAAATTCTTACGTTTGGTATCAGTGCTGTTGAAATGAAATAATACTTGTCCAAAAAGTTAGGGTGAATGTATGAGACCTGGCTATTTTTTCACAGAGTTATTTTAAGGGGTAGAAATATTGTTTAGTTACTGCGATACCTGAAAAACAGTATTCTCTGCCACTGAATTCTTCTATGATTTCTGACACTGCCTTAAGTTCTCTTTGTTGATTGTGAAGTATCTAGAAAAGTGACTAAACAGATACATAAGTCTGGAGAAGTAAATGAAAGATACTTATTTTCAGTCTTGACTTGCTGATCAATGCTTTTCTTTTGTTATATTTTTGAAGATTACTTTTCTCTACAGTCCTGCTGTAATGCAGTGACATTCACTGCTGCAATAACACAGCAGGCAGAAGGAATGCAGCCAAAGTCAACTTAGTCCTTTGAAACTGATGTCAAAGAGATGATATTTTGTTAAGGAATTGTCATGTATCCTCTTGGTTAAATGCATTTGTGATTTTGGAATATGTGGTGTTAGCTGAGATAAAATCTGTCTCAGTGTTTATTAAAACTGATATACTCATGTATTACGCCAGATTCAGCAGCTCTGACTAACCAGCTCATATATACAGCATTAGCAAATATAAGCTGTCACTGACATGTATGCCTGTGTTGACTTTGTTATCTAGTAATCAATTTTGAGTGCTTTTTCTTAGGATTACCTTTTTATCTGGCATTCCTGTGGGCTTTTATAACAGACAAATCTCTTTTAAGTTACTAGGGAAACATTTCTTTCCTGCATTAACTAAACAGTAAAAGCTACAGCCGGGAGTAGGAGTTGAAAAAAATTCCATGAGGCATTATCTAACTTCACATATTCCAAAGCAGAGTAGAAATCTGTGCCCTCTAAGTGATGTCTGATGAAGACTCCCTACACACTTCATGGGAGACTGAATGACTTCAGTATATGGTCTGAAACATCAACATGTTGATCAGGGAGATTTCTTGGCAAAGTCAGCAGCAAAATTCTCTACCCCGTGCTACTATTGAAGTGCCTCAGCATAAGCTGCAGTTAATTATTTTCACTAGTTTGAATGCAATGGTTTGTATTTTCCCTGGTGGAAAGACACCCACAGTAATTTTTAAGAGAACTGAATGGTGTTCTATGTTTTATGGCACCATTCTGGGGACGGTGTTGATACTACTTCCATCCATCTTCTGTGTTACTAGCTTGAGCTGACATCTAACTCAGAGTACCTGGATGCGATTGCCACAACAGCCTGAAAAGGTCAAGCTCACGTCTGTCTGTCCAAGCAGCTCATTCTCTCACCACACAAACAGGTGAGAATGGCCAAGGAAAAATCTTCATTTTGAAGAATTCAAGACTCACTGTGGCAAGACAGGAAAAGTGGAGACTTGGACTTTACAGCCTTGTAGCTTTAATGCTGCATAAAAAAAGAGCTATTCCTGTGTACTTGTCTCAAAAACTCTACACAATTAATTCGGAACAATCTTCAGATAAAATACATAAACAATCTCAAAGAAAATACAAACCCAGTATTCCCCCTTTCAAATGACAGTGCTGTAAGGCAAAAATTTATGCTCTCTTCCTCTAGCCCTATCAGTCTTCATGTCTTCACTTTGCAAAGTCCTAGCACCAACAGAAAGGGGATAAATGCCACATCCTTACCCAAAATGACCCTATGTCCTGGGAATTCCAAGTCATCAATGAGACTTAATTTTCCTCATTTGGGAAGATGTCATATTTCAGGGGAAATATTTTTAATGATGAAGCTCTTACAAAAATACTGCTTTTTCTTCCATCATGATTGGATTCAAAGATCTTAAAGGTCTTTTCCAAACTAAACAATTCTATGATTCTATGATCACAAAACTGTTCATGAAGCAGAGTTTAATCATGATCACCTGAATACAGATCATCCCAGCAGAAATTCCTTTATTTAATAACTATCACCTAGATACAATTCACAGAATGCAGTATCACTACGAAATATGGATCACAATAATACTTTTTGCATGCATAATGGAGGAAATGTACTTTTTCCATTAAGCATGTAATTCATCTCTAATGAAGAGAGCCTGTAAAATCACAGAAGCAACACGACAGCCACTAAATATCTTGCTGTCTTTCAGAGTAATTCACATACTTACCCTCAGTTTGAAATATGTTCTATATATTTGTTTGTGAGTATGAGTATGTCTAAGCACATATATGAGTTGGAATTCTAGTGTCTAAATATAAGATAATTAGAAAACAAAAAGTTTCTAAGAACGAGATTTTTTTGTTGTTGACTAAAGTTTAGTTAAATCTGTATTTAAATGGCTCTCTTCAAATTTTGTGACATGGAGGCTTCAGCATTGCATCACTGTTTTTTGAAGTCAGACTGAAAACCAGCACAAGGTTCATGTCATAAGTACATTTCCTACATAAAGAAATGTTTTTATCCAACACGGATGGGAACATATTCTCAACAGTATTTTCAGTTTTCTCCTTCACAGTTTTAGGATGAAGAATATGAATATACCACTTTAAAATACCTATATGTTGGGAGGTGAGCTGAGTACTGCAAATTGCTGGACTGCCAAAGGAGATCTTTTTAATTAACGAAATAACTGCATTTTTCTGTATTTTTGTTCAAATGCTGATTTAGTAATGACAAAACATTTGACTGCAAAACAAGAACAAGTTTTTTTGGTTTATGCAGATGATAAAGACAGGGAAAATGCATATTTTAATAGTTGTTAAAAATTTCTAAACCTTTCCCCAACAGAACTGCACACTTAAGATTTTGCTCTCACACTAATCATTTCACAAGCTACCAAAGTAAGAAGCAAAAGACACATTAAAGAGTAGAGATCCCTGCTTTTCTGCTCACATAAATTTCTAGCCCTAGATCAGTCATCTGTCATACTCAAAACTGGAGCTGAGTTACATTTAGTTAGTGATAATTCAAACAAAATTAAAATTAATCACATTCAAAATAAAATTAATCAATCAGATGCTATTATAACAAGACAATACATGTGCTACTCATTGATAACAGTGGAATAAGAAATGCCAGTGCATTATCCCGTGCTCACCAGAACCAGATTGTTACCAAGATTTGACAAAGACCACTCACTGGTAACAAATAGAAGCTTAAATCTAGCCAAACAACTCAGCTACAGAGAGAAGTCCAGAGCCCATAGCCAGAAAGTGGGATCCAGAATGGTGTGTTAGGGACCATGACTCCCAGTACAGTGCAAGGGGAGAATAAGGCACTTCGGGTCTTTCCTAGAGGCAACAAATAGGAAACACAGATAATGAGATGGGTCATAGCTTCTCTCTTGAGAAGCAGGCACTTCAGCCCCAAGCAAGTGGCTCTCTCCACTGGGCATTCAGACCACAAAATGCTTTCTAAACTTACTGTATTAAACATGGCAAACCCCACTCATTTCTTTTAGAAGCATATTGGAGGAGAAATTAAAACCAGTTCCAGCAACAACATTCTGGGGTCAAAGCAGTAGTCTAGATAGTCATTTTAGATCTGAAAGGGGTTGTAATCCTGATCTTCTCCTAGCCCCCAAGTGCTCCACCATCGAATTACAGGCAGCCTACCTGTGACTGCTGCCTTACAAATACCACATCAGGTACCTGGTACCTGGGAGCCTAGTGTACAAACCTATCACATACGTGCTCTTTATCAGCTCTCTAAAATGTTTTTGACTTGATTTTTTTTTTCTTTCTTCGAGATGAGTTGAGATCAGAAGGGCAGGCTTCAAAGACTGCCACTGTTGATGCAGCATTTATACCACTACCATGTGCATCTAAAAATACAGGAAATGTGTAGCTCGGGACAGATCTGTGAATCTATGCAAATAAGAGAGAGCACACTTCTACCTTTTTTTTTCTTTTGACTTGTGAAAGGTTTTATATGAGCTAATAAATATAAAAATATTTTGTATTCCTAACTACAAAATTCCATAATTTATAGTAGTTTTTCTAATATATATTTTATTATCGCATCTGTACAGGCTGGCTTTCAAGAATAGCCTTAAAAAGCATAAGCAACAGAGTAGTTCATCTGTGACTTTTATAATGGGCCATAAATGTTTCAGAAGAATGGTCTGGCAAGAGACTTCTTGACTCATATTTTGTTCTGCAGGCTCTGAAAACAAAGAATGTGCATGTATTCAACAATAAACTGTACAGCTTTTGGTTTGAACTTTGGCTTAATTGAAATCAGTGGCAAAATTCCCCTCTTTTTATGATGAACACTGTGGTAAAAAATAATTTGCTTCATTGTTATTAATGCACTGTTCTTTCTTCCATCCTCTGTATTCTTTAAATCTGAGTTTTATTTATATGCTGATACTCCTGTAACTGCAAACCTAAAGAGGAAGTCTCTGTTCCCATATATTCTTGATTTGCCTTCTGCATTTTTCTACATGATTCCTCTTTGATCTGCCTCTGAATTTAATAATGAAATTTGACTCAATATCCCTTCCACTATATGTAGCTCCTGCTACATCATGTTCTGTTACCTATCATCTGACAGTGTAATTCTTGAAATCTGGCCATTTAATTTGGTCCAAGAAAATGTATCATTTAAGAAAAGGTCATATTCATTTAACTAAGTGAATGCACATTTTTGTTTTCTTACCAAGCATTGGTGTGTGGGCAGTTTCTCATATGGGGCAGGGGGTAGGAGGGGAGGATGGTGGGGATGATGGGTGTTGTTCGCAGAATCCTATCAGCAAAAATGGCATTTGGCAAGAATATTAACTACAATAGCAGCATTCATGGTTTGGTTTCTAAATGTTATAATCCTGAATATTCTCATTTCCTTTTTGCATTACTACTGCCTGCTATGGGGCTAGGAAGGTAGCCTCACAGAATTTCTGAATTCAGATTTCACCTTCCCCTACCATGGGACAGGAAATGAAACCTCCCAAAGCCTGGGATCTCTGCATGAATGGAGGGCATTGTAGATACGCATCGTATTTCACTCTTCCCTGCTGACACCCACAATGTCAGTTCTTTCCATCGCTGGGACTGTTTTTAAAGACAAACGCAGTGTCTACCTCTTAACCAAGTCAAAACATTTTATTTTCTGCTTTTCCAATTTCCTAGAACCCGTGATTAATATCCCTATCAAATTACCTGATGTTGAGGAGAGTCAACAGGACTATTCCTAATATGAGAGCTATGCAGGAGGAGTAGGCAATAATGTAGACTGTTTCACCTAAAAGTAAAAAACAGAAAACAGACATGAAGTGTTTACTTTCCCAGTAATAAGAATCAGATTTGAGATCTGAACTGGAATGCGTACATATGTAAGCTAAAATAGCTATCAATTTTGACATAAGTAATTAAAAGGAGGGAAAACACCTAAAATGGTATGTCAGTGGTAGGAATAACTCTGGCAGTTGGTACAAAATTTTCAGACTTCTTTTAGTAAATACCAGCTCCAATAGCACTTCACAGGTGTAGCACTACCTTTTACTCTGCTCCAGGGGAACAGCTTGTTACTCTGATTTGTGTTTTAGAGTATTCTCCCTATTCATTTTAAAATGTTAATTTTTTTTCTGTGTATGAGAGCAGACCTGGCTCCTACTTGCCTTCTAGCCTTCTTTTCCTTTTTCACATATTACAATAATTACAGTGTGCAGCAATACTTGATCTAGAATTAAATTAATGTAAAATGGGATTTAGATTTAAACTGTGTTTCTGGGCCCCATTCCCATGCAGTTTCCTCTTTCTCTTAGGCTTCTCACCAAAAAGTCACTTAGGTGGCTTATGTGCTAAAAATTCCAGCTGTTGAAAAACTGGGAGCTGTTTCAACTTTTGTTTTCCAAATGAGGAGAAACTTATTTTTCTTGAAGGAATGAATCCATCAGTTTTGATCAACTATTCTGAAGGAAATATTTCAGTTGAGAGTGTAATGCAAGCCCTGGACATGGTATGGAAATGTGTGGAGGTTAGATGACTTGACAAGAGGGCATAAATGCAGAGCCGCAAACATAAACCACGAGACCTTTCTGTGACTTTCCTGTTGCACTGATTCTGTCATGTTTATACAATCGAATAAGTTTTATTTACATAGAAACTCAAATGCAGAGAGCCTTAGCTGCTCCACCTTACATAGCTGGTGAAACATTCACTGAAGAAGAAATGGATTCCTGGCCTCATCACTGGGCCACTTATCTGGGCTGCGAGAAGGCCAAATTCTGGTCTCTGAATAAGTTATGAGTTATTATATGTCTTGTGTGTTGTTTGTGCATATGCACACACAAACCCTAAATGAGGCATTTCTGTATACACTACATAAATGCAGCAGATGTAGCATACAGTGTAATACAAACACAGGCTGTTTGGATGCTGGAGCAGCTCCAGTAAGAGAGTGAATATTTATTCTACAGCAGGGCAAGCAAGGAGTTGAACAGGGGGTTGGATTTGCCTGGCTTTTATGGTACGATGGTGCTCACTTTTTCTAAAAAAAAACTATCCCAAATTCAAGTTTTCCAATAAAACAAAAATTAAAGCAATGACTGAACCATCACAAGTTGCAAAGAACGAACATACCATTTAATCCAGCAACCTACTGAAAGATATTTAACATGGTGAATTTTTGAAGAAAGAGGTGTGAGGTCCATCTTTCTCTCAGAGCAGGATTGCTAAAAACATGTATTAAAAACCAGATCAGCAGTTGGCCCACCTCTCAAGTTACAGCATTTCTTTAAGATAATGAGTTTTTGCAAAAGAGTAATTTGTAGGCATTTTTTTCAGTTTCTGAATCTTAATTTTACACACAGTCATTTTTAAAACCTTTTTACAAGTGCAGGAGCAGTTGTAAGAATAACAGTTTCCTGCTTTTTTAAAGTGGAAGTGAATTTCACACACATTTTAGGCAAAAAGAAGTTTTTAAAGTACATCACTTACCACAATGCTAGGAACATCATTGCACCTTACAAGTTTTTAGGAATAACAGCCATGGGTAGTTAAAAATGGGCTAATAAATTTTCACTGAAACATTGTGATATTTTTCTTAAAAATTTGTAAGAGGTGTTTAATTTTGATTAAAAAAGCACTCTTAAATGATCAAATGAAATAAAATTTTTCTATTTTTTCGTCAAAATCTTAAAAAATGCTGTGGTTCTGGTGAATTGCTGGTAAAAGAGATGTTGATAAAGTTCTGTTGGGAACAAAAGAAGGATGTTAGTGATGAGATCATGCTAGAAACCATGTATTTTCTCAGAGCTGCAGAGAAGGAAGGAAATTTGTGAGGCCAGTAGAAGGCAAAACTTTGTGGCTGAAAAGCTAATTCTGCATTTTATATATTCTTTGTGGTTAAACTACTGGTATGTATAGAGACACAAGTGGATAGCTGGTGTTTCCATGGGCCTGTGAGGTGCTGGGGTCACTGCTCTGTACCATGGAGGTGGCCTGTAGTCATGAGAAACTCTTGGGCCTTCTCACCTCATGGCAGGTCTATAGCAGGGCCCCCGTGTCTGCATGATGTCCTCAGGGACACGACGACTGGGGCTGTAGGTACCAGTGAAGCACTAGCTGGAGCTGCCTACACAGGCACACGGACATTTCCAGTCATGAGCCTTGGTAGAGGGTAACTGTGGGTCAACAGCTGCAACAATTAGTGGGATTACACTCTATTGTAAATCTACCTGCTTCTGTATACACAGTGCATATTCATGGAACCATCATGCCAGCTTGTGCTCAGACGTTTCTTGGCTACCCACAGCTTGTCGCAGGCATTTTTCTACATTTAAAAAACAGTCAGATGGACAATGTTTCATACCTTACAAATTAAAGTCACTGGAGCTGAACTAATCTCAGTTCCCACAGCAGCTGGTATAATTATAGATAAACCCTGCCAATTACTTGTTTATCTAGATACTCAGCACAGCACAACTCCTCAGCAGAAAATATATAACACTACAATTTATGACAAAATGAGATTAATTTCAACAGTCTTGGGTCAAGCCCAATTTTATTGTATCTCACAAAAACAGGATAAACGTTCTGTATTTCTTGCTTTCTCTTCCATAAAAAAACCCCTAACTTAGCTCCAAAGCTCTGTGCTGATGAATGTCAATGCTTATCTTCACACACTTTAATTTTTCAAATTAAAGTGTGGGAAGCAATCTTTTAAATTATGTGGATCTGTAAAATTGTGGAGATAATTTGCATGGGATAAAGTCAAAACCAGGCTGAAAATGCATAATTAGATATGCAATATCTTTGAAGTTTGGAGAAATTTTGATTTATCAGGTTTTTTTCCAAAAATGGAATGATTTTTGGACATTGTTTCCAAAATGACATAAAATTCTGGCCCCACCTAAGCTTACAGCAAAAGTCTCCTTAACTTTTATATGGTCATGACTCTGACCATATCACATCTTGTTAACACAGTTTTATCAGCCCACAGATGACTCTGCTGGCCTGTTCTCCCCTGAGAGTGGGAATGTGTTTAGATCCAGTCAAGATTTTTACAGAATCCTGGTATAATTTTTTTACACCAAAAGCTGGAATAATATTTTTCCAACTACTGCAGTTCTATTTATTTGCAAATATATTTGGATATATGTATATATGTTCAGACTTATTGTTTATTATGAAAGACTCCTTTTATTAAAGCAGTCTTACCCAATGAGATGATTCACAATGCTGCTGAGGAGAACAGAGAAATCTGTTTTTTTGAACAGTAAGTTATTTTTTGAAGAAAAAAATTAAGAAAAAGCTGAAGAAATATTGAGTTTCTTCTGAGCATGGTCATCTGTAGATGGTCATTCATTTCAACTGGTGAAAGAGTTTCTTGTATCTTTCAGTGACAAACTAAGTAAAGGCTTCTTCTGATATTTTACTGTAGTGACATCAGCAGATTGCATCTCCTGCTTTCCAAGCAGAAAATAGCCAAGAAGCAAATAACTTCAAAAGCCTTCACACACACAAAAGGCCATATTTGACAATTTAACTGTTTTGCCTCTGCACCCTGAGATTCTTCTTGGGATTTGATTTTATTAAAGATAAATATTTTGTGAAGATGATAACTCCCTTTGCAGCTTGAGTAATGCACATTTACTAGCAAATTTACTAGGATACTGGGTTAGATTTTTGGCTGTGGGATTTATGAAACAATTTGCAATGTGGTTTTTATCATCAGGTAGATATCCTGAATCAAATTGTTCTCCTTGCCTGGCTTCCTATGAGACTTTTATGGCCTAGAGAGTTCCCATCTAGTACATGACAGCTCCAATAGAAGGAATATTTTATTGCATAGTTTAGGCTGGTCAGCGTTCTTTTTATTTTTCTAAGGCCATCCAAAGTTCTGTTAAGACTTCAAGGAAAGGTTTTTGGAAAGTATTCAGACTTCAGTGGGAACACAATTAACTGGGTGCAGGCTGCTTTTTTTGCAAATATTTATCTGAATCCCTGAGGGAAATGTATAATATATTTTACCCACTGAAAGGGTCTGTAGTTAGAACTAGGCACAGGGGTGAAATATCTTGCATTTTGCATTTTCTTACTTAAAGCAGGATTTCTTGTATTATAACTTGCATTATTTAACCACTAGAGTCTCTTTCCAGCAAGAGATTCAGGCTCCCTCTGTACTTGGCAAAAAGAAGTCAATGCTTCCAGAAAATGCAGTCCGAAAATATTGGATTAATCTTCTTTTGAGGGTCCCTGACTTTCTTCTCTGGCTACACAGAGCACTTGGATGACATGCATAATTCTTAAGTAGTTTTAATGCCAACACTACGGCCAAATGCTTAATTATTCATTATTATTATATACAGGTCTCAGGAATCCCATTCCCTTAGTCTATTATTATACTTCCCAGGTTGCCCACTTCAGCAATAGTTGAAGAATGGAGAGGATAGAAGTCCCTTCATTTTGTACTTCATTTTGTACATCCAGAGACTGAATTATTTTTTTCCCACTGTTTAAAGTGTTCTGTATGACCCATTCTGGAAACTAATTTTTAGTAATGTCTGGAGTATTGTAATCTGTCCTCCACAAGGTAGAACAGGTCATTCTCATTAGAGCTGATATTTGTGCATTAAGCTCTTTAGTGTTCTCACTCTGTAACTGGGTCCCTCAAAAGAAAATATAAAATAATATTATTTCAACAATGAGAAAATTTATATATTAATTCAGTATGCTTTAACTTTATGTTGCTTAATTGCTTACTGTAAATGCATTGAAATAAAAGCAGATACAGCTCTTCAGCCCATGGGATATAGTGATCCACAATTGTGTGTCCTTCTTCAGTATGAGAAGGTAAAGTCTGATGAAGCATAACACAAGCCCCTTTTCAGACCACTTACTGTAGGTTCCTAATTTTGTTGTTGTAACTACTACAAAAAGTCAAGAGAGATAAAAGTAGTTATGACATCAAAGCTAATAATTTGTATTACACATTATGACTACTGCTCTCTAATGACTGTACAGAGAGTCAGGCTCTGGAAGGTTTAATAGCTTAATTTTCCCCAATTATAATATAGTGATCATGAGACATCTATTTCAAAACCACTTATCAGAGAAATTGGTTCAGTCTCATTAACTTTATTTTGTGGTTATATAAGCTAAGCCAAACAAGTAGGGAGCTACCCAGGTTGAACAGGACAGGAAGAGGTCGAGCTCACTTGCCTGAACCCACCCAAGGGACCCAACCTTTAGTCTTTTCTATCATACATGAGGGATATTTCAAGAGTACTTCTATGGAAATTATGGAGTGACTTGCCCAAACTCACCACTAATTGCAGAAGAATGGAGCTGTGCTCCAGAAGGCTTCTTCCCTGGCATTTCTGTATTTACCCAGCCAAAACCATTCTTCTGAATGGAAATTTGACCTGAATATTGGAAAGAAATTACCCATTCAAAATATTGCTTAAAAAAATAATTTAGGTGACTATTGCAGTTTGATATTTTGATAACCACCACAGAATTTGTAAAGGGAGTTTTAAAAAATACTGTTTACTGATACTCGATGAACAAGTTGAATGAGTGCATAACAGTTTTTCCTTTCCCATCTCAGTTAAACCTCCCATGTAGTTTTTCTTATGGAGGACAAGCACACTTTGAAAATATTCTCTGCCACAAAACAGCTTAAGTTCTCTTTTCACATAAACTATTTTAAAAAGAGGCCCACCAGAAGAACTGGGCCCATCAAACCAATATAAAAGTGATGAGAAATAGGTTGTACTTAGAAGTAATTTCCAAACCGCACAGTTTATTCTCCGAGTTGACAGACATCAATAAATTTTTTCACAAAGGCCTATTCTCGTAGTGGGCATGATTTCATGAATGTATCTGAAAATATGCATCTTTTGTTGAAATGAAAAACAGAGGGTTTACCTAAGTAGAACAATTTACAGAGCAGGAGGCTAAACCATACAAGACTGTGCATGGTCACTCACATGAACTCTAAACTGAGAAATTTTTATTCCCTTTAGGAATGAAAACAATATAAGAAAGGCTCACATTTTCAGCCTGGAACATTGTCCAAATAAAAACAGATAAACCTACCTGCAATTTATTTTTTTTCTGTGAGATCCAAAGGTACAACCCAGAGTTAAAATATTTTGGAAGCTTCAATTTTAGCTTTCTCTCACTGAGATTTTTGCCTATTCCTATTGTGACACCAATCCTACATTGGCACTGATCCACACTGCGCTTCTGCCTCATATAGCAGCCAGTCACAATTCTTGCCTTTTACTGAGTCTGCAGCAAATGCAATCCTGTAAGCACAGCCCCGAGAGCATCTGCTCATAGCAAAGGCAGTGCCATACAAGATTAGGAAGATGAGATGGTGTGAACACCACTTGTGGGTCTGTTCACACCAGTTCTAGAGGTAAAGATCCCTTTTCCTAGCCCTGGGTATTTGCCTATTCAGAAAGACTTCAGTATTAAAAATCACTGCCAGTATAAGAGTGAAAGTCATCCCAAAGTTCACGCTCACCAGATGAATGAGTTAGCAGACGGGGATGGGTGGACTCTGCAACAGAGCAGTCACTCCATGTCTCCGAGCTGCCTTGCAGATAATGGTATTAAAATTGTGCCTTATAATAAAACCCATATTCATCACCATAATCAGTTTAGCTGCATTACAACTAGACATCTAGATAAAAAAAGCAGCGAGATTAACAATAACCTGCAAGTGTAGAGTAGGTACTGATCCTTTACTCAGCCCAAGGTCCTGTTTCCCTAAACGAGTTTTGTTTAACTACCAGGAAATTGTTACACCACATGAGCATGTAAGCTTCTGTTCTTCAATCTCAATTAGGTTAGGGAAGTTTCGATCACAAAATAACCTCAAACCATTTTATCCTGAGGCTGCTTCAGGGAATGGCAAAGCTCATGAGGAATTATTTAATTATTCCGACATGAGGATCATATTTTTTGTTTTGTAGGTAAAGAAATAACTAATACAACAATGTCTTCACTCATTTGGACCATTAAATTCAGCTGTAAAGCAAACAAACAAGCAACATTCAAAAGCAAAATCACTGCTAGTAGTCTCAAATCTAAGTGTGTCCCCTGCTTTTTCAGGGGAGTTGTTATATGTTTTTTAATATTTTCTCAGAGTCTGAGTTTGAGTAATGATTAACTAAATTAAGGGCAGTGTTTCAGCAACTTTATCATAATTTCTGGAGAGACTTTGAGTGACAAGAAAGAAAATTACACTCTTATCAGTGGTAACATTTTGGTCACTAGAATTAAAAAAGCAGCTAATTCCTTCAATGAAATGAATGCACACAATTAATATGTTTTCAAAAGGCAGTCCATCAGATAGAACTATGAAAAAGCCATTGCTTTTCATTGTAATATTTAGATAGAGTTACCTCTCCCAAGCTAGTTTGAGAATATATATAATTACATGTAGAAGATGACTGGCATAGGGTATGATGCACTAACAGGTAATAAAGAGGATTTATATAGCAAAGTAGCTAGTGTAATAGATCAGAGATTTGAGAGGAGGATATTCTGATCTTTGATCTGGTCAATGGACCAGACAATCTGGAGTGTAGCTGGAGCATTGCAGAGGTAACAGATGAACCCTCAGGTTCAGTTTTAGGCTGCAGGAATCCAGGAAAACCACCCTGTGATGTAGAACCACACCATGATGTGACCCATGACACTATGAGAGGGGACAAACAGGAGCTTTGCTTGAAAGGCACACTCCTGATTCAGACTAAAACATTAATATTTGTTCCCAATGCCATTTATTGCATTAGCAATTCTCTCTTAACTAAAGACTTGGCAAGGACCTTTATATTTAACAAAAATAAGTAGCTGATTTATTTAGCACATAAAAGGTGATACTGGTTCTGAGAAAGTGCATACATTTCACCTGAGTTAAGGCCAGTGTTTTTAGAGCAGACCAAATCCTAAAGCCTCCATTCCTATATAAAGTCCTATTAAATAATTGAAGTATTTTCTGTGGAATGAAGTCTATTGCTAAATAAGCGTAAGGTAGACTAATATTTAGACTCCAAGAAGAAAAGAAAGAAAACCAACATCCTGCCTCATATTATTTGTAAAAAACTGTACCAAAGTACAACATTAAGCCAACGACAGGAAGGCTTTGGACTTTTTTTTAAAAAAAGCTGCAGCTATAAATCTTGCTGAAATCTGTGGTATCAAAGATATAGTAAAGATCTGGTGAAAGCCACCATCTTAATACTCTTTAAAAATAATTATTCTTAGAGGTTTTACGTGTTACTCACGTAACTCACTGAAGCAGGATTTGCTGTGAAGCATGTGATGGAAGAGCTTGCACAAAGACTGCTCCATGGGAGGCAGATTCTGGCAGGTACACTCCACGTGCAGCATTGTGCCCCAGTTGCTAATGTAGGCTGCTTTGCAATCAGCATTTGCAGAACAGGGCATGTCATCCTTGATTAAAGTTTCAAGACAAGCTTCATCCTCGTAGCATTTTTTTGTCACGTGTCTCCAACACTTTGACCGAAAAGATGTGTATTTTTTCCTGGTGGAAAAAAAAAAAAAAAGAAGAAAAGAAGTATACAATGACACTGTAAAAACTGTGATTTCAAGAAAAGACATTTAAGGATCACCATTAAAATAGAGTGTATTTCCAAGTTACCACTTAAGCCTTCAAAAATTGCAATATTCAGTGATAGCTAGCCTAATTTCTGCTCTGATTTTGAGAAAAAGCAACTGCTCTTCTAATCAGCACCTGTGGAAATTTCCCCAGCAAAACACAGTGTGAATTCCAACAGTCTCTGATACTCAGAAAAAATGCCGATAGAGGAATCAGACCAGTCATCACAAGAAAACCATACTAGGTGCTGTTCTAGTGGATCAGTTTGTTGGGCAGTGTGAAGGAAGGATGAACACTCAACTTATTTTACATTAAATAATCTACATTCTTTGTCAACCCCTTGTCCCCCTGAATGCTAACAAAATACAAAATGTCCAAGGCTCAGGAAAGTGTACAGTAATTCAACTGAACTTAAAGATTAATTGATAGCAGAGATAAATTACAAGAAGAAATAACTTGTTTCCCAGATCAATAATCTTCAGTTTATTTGCTCTTAGGATGGAATAAAATTGGCCTTTAATGCATTGCATATGACAATAGAAAACATCTATTATTAATTAATTAAGAAATCTGTGTATATTAATTAGAAACAAATTAGCACTTACATTAAATGTTAGGGGATGATAAAGGTAAATTCTTGGATATTGTACATTAAGATATTATTTTTCCTTAATCATAAAATTAGGTTTTTAATTTGGTGTTGATATTGTGTAATGGCTATAAGGAAGTCACATGGAAAAGCATGAACTGTTACAATACTGGCTAGGAAATTTCTGTAACTATTTTCATTACACAAGCAAAGTTTTCAAAGCAGATGCCACCTCTGTTCTAAGGAATTATTTTTATTCATCTCCTGATTTATAGATATGCCTAGCCATAATTAATAGACTAATTGCTCTTTATGTGCACTTATTGTCAGTGCCAGGGAACATTATGGGGACTTCAGAAATTTTCAATTACGATATTACATTACAGGTACAGACACATATTTGTAGCCCCATTCTTTTGACATAAAAAGAGGTAATTCCCACTGACGTCAACCTAAATAATCTGTACAAAACCAAAATCATCTTTTGGCCTCCTGGTATGCTGACTGAAGGTTAACTTAAGCACAGCTTTGAGCTAAAATTCAGGTCTAATTCACAAGAGAACTGGTAACTAAACTGAAAATCAAAGTGGGCCAATTGACCATCCACAAATGGTGGCAATTAAGTAGAACTACAAATATGGGCTAATCCTGTTGGATGTTTTTTAAACATAAAATAAAATCTTGAAAGGGCATTATTCTTCCTAAGTTTGGTGGTCTGTGCACGTTTCAGGCCAACTTTTTGCAAGAATCGGTATGCTGGAGACAAAGGGAGTAAGACAAAAGTTTTCTGAAGAGGCCAAGTTGGTTGTACCCCTTTGTTGGGTACAAAGGGGTCAGACTCTGTGCTTGAAAAGGCAATTAACCAAACAAACTTCATCTAGTCTGCTGCACCACTTGGGTAAACTGCTAGAGAGCAAAGGTGCAGATGGGCAGGTGTTATCTGAAGAAAGTGGTAATGAAAATATGCAACAGTATTGTTTGTCCAGCAGAAATGGTGTTACATGTCATGACACTGGAGGAAGAAAAACCCACACTAGATTCCACATCTTTCTGAAAATTAATCTTTTCAGTTAACTTGTGAAATTACTTCTGGAATTACCACAGTTGATGCAAACATCTGTGAAGATGTCAAACACAGCAGATTCAGTGCAGAAAATAATTTTGTTATAGATGAGATATATGTATGGCCAGTCTTTGCGAACGAAGATTTGGGAAAGGTCTTTACCCTTCGAGCCTGTGCAGTGGATTTTTTAGGTGAGACACAGTGTGTGCTGAACTGAGCCCACCCTTTAATCCTAAGGTTCATCTGCCGGGGCCGAGCAAGCTTTGGACAGTGGCAGTGAGGTCCTCAGGACGTAGGTTTGTTTAGAGTGACCTTCTCTTAGATGGATGGCCTTACAGGGCTGACGAGCTCCATCTGCCCAGGGGAGAGTTTCCCTGATCGGGAATTGAACCCGGGCCGCAGCGGTGAGAGTGCTGCATCCTAACCACTAGACATATAGCATATATATATAAAAATGATTTGACCAAATCATTATTCAAAAGCACCTTACTATGCAAAATACTTCTACTACTAACCTGCACAATTCATTCTCTTCACACATATGGATTACATTCAGGCACGATGGGGCTTGAACTGCAGTAACTGCACAGGGCTTGCCATGGAGAAGTTCTTTGGCTCTGTGGCAGGATTCATCATGCTGGATACAATCACAAAATATCATCATTTGAGCAACTTCGAAAGGCATGTTTTGATAGAAGGACCTTAGGGCTGCTTGGCATTCTTCCATGTTGCACTTCTTATTTACTGAGCAAACTTTAAGGTACAGGGACAACTGTTTGTTACATACTTCATCTTCAACGCACTCCCTGTTCACATCCAAACAGGTTCTATTTGTTGTGTACACTAAAAAGAATAACAGTTTTAAAATGAAATCACAAGAAAATTTTTCTCAAGTGATGACCGGTAGTCACCCTGTCTGCAACATTCCCAGTAAAAACAAGTCTGACTCCCAAAAATTCTGATCCAGCTCTTCAGCAATGCTTCTTTTAAGCCTATTGTGTAATCTTCATACTTCTCTCTTCCACTGCTTGGCCCTCATAAGCAACCCTCCTGAAACTGCTGAGATCTCCATCGTTATGCTAGGCTACGTAATAAGTAATGAAGAAGAGAATATAAATGGCATTTTTGTGCTTTCAAAGTTAGTTTAGATATTTCTAGACTGCACTGTAACCCTTCCAAAAATATCAAAAAAATTCTGCCCCTAAAATGTTTATGGGATAAGATTTTCCTCTGTAAATTTAACAGGATCATGATTATTACCTGGCATTTTTGAGTTCTTATCTACTCAGTGTCTTAACTAAAAATATGTTGAATCTGTTGACTCCTTGCTCACTCATTTGAATGAAAAGTATTAGTTTCAATCTCGAGGTACATTGTACACTATCTGAAAACAGAACTAAAATGATTTATAAGGATTCATAAGTAAATTCAGACTTACCTTGTTTCGAGAGAGCAGATAAACCCCATTGTAATTTGGTTTCCATACTAATATTGTCTAGAAAAAAAAGACACAGATACAGGCATAAGTGATAAATAATGTCTCAGCTTAGCTTTTTAACTTTAAAGTATTGGCTGTCTTGCTTGCATAGTGCCAGTAGTAAAAATGAACAAGAATAAAACAAATTAGTTTCACTGAGTAGAACTCATTAACAAATTCTAAACCCTCTACTACATATATTCATAAGTTCTGGGATCAAAGTGCAGTTTATTAAAGGTTGCTGATAACATTCTTTACATAATTATAGAACCTGTGAACTCAAGAAGAGTTTTTTAGAGTTTCTCACTGCATTATAAAGTCAGATTTCTTGTGAATAAATAAAAGCCAAAGGCCTTAAATGTGTTCATCAGTGGACTAGTTTTCAAGTTGAACCAGCTGCTTGTCATGACCTGAAGTCAAGGCAAGCTGACAATTTTTGCTATTAGAAAATTATTGTTAATGATCTTATACTGTTTCTAGTCATAAAGAAAAGCTAAAATGGACTGATTTGGATCAGGTTGTATCAAATTAACATACTGAAGGACAGGAGTATTTGCATCCAGGCTATCATTTTTCTATCATATAGTGAGTTCATTTATAAACAGGCCTTTTAAAATGAACTCATTTTCAATGTTAAAGTGCAAATGATTAAGAAAACCTTTCTTACTGACTGTGGACTCTACTGTTATGTAGTTCCAGACTGCTGGAATAACACTAACCTGTGTCAGTGACCAGATTCTTCTCATCATCAACATCAGCATTATAGTCATCATCATCACTGTTGTCATCATGTCCACTGGGTGCTGAAGCTTGGCTCTCTTGAGAGTATTGTAAACAACGGTTGTTAAATATTCCCTTCCATATTTTAATGCATCTCATCTGAAGTGGCTCTGAGCACTTGCACTGTCCCAGCACTGTTTTCATCAGTTCTTTCCATGCTGACAAACACTCCTGGTTGACCATTGGAAACCTGCACTTTGCTGCATCTGCCTGGCATGCTCTCTGGAAGCTCCTGTACAGGGCAAAGCAGGAAGGGTCCTCTCGACAGTGTTGTTTTGCAATACGGCAATCGTTCTCCAATTCTTCTGAGTGCCTTTTGTCTTTGGGGTTTCTGTGCTGCCTAAAACTCAGTTCAGTGTCTGATCTTGAGAAAGACTCCAAATATTCTGTACAAATAGGTACGAACAGAGATATAAATCAAATGGAAGATGGAGTATCATCACAGGTCAGCACAAAACACAGGAAAAGGATAATTGTCTTAATGCAATACAATGAATGAAACAGCTCTAGTTTCATTCTGAGCTGTAAGTAAACACAGAATAATTTCAGAGTCTTGCAGACTAATGAATCTTTCTCATGCTTACTGTGTGTTGTTATCTGTATAGTACAGTCCCCTTTAACAATTCAGCTGCAAAAAAGTAGTAAAAGAAATCTTCACTAAAATTACTGCATATAAAGGGATACATTTCACATAATTTTAACCACCTACAGATTGGACATATCATGGATTATCATCTTAATCCAATGCATAATTTGTAAAGAGAAAATCACAATGCCAGCAGATGGTTCATTCATTACCTGAAATAGCAATTTAAGTTAGACAGGGAGAATTACTCATGAAAGTACCTACCAACACCATATGCTATCCTTTGTAGGTAAACTCAACGCTAGTGTAACCCCATATGAACTTTTTTTCTATGCTAGTGAGAAATGTCATCTCAATCAGCAAAAAAATATAAAATTACTTCATTTTGCTAGAAGCAAAAGCAACTGCTCCAATGACATCAATGTCAGTTTTTAGATATGCATCCTTCTTGTTTGGGGAAAGGAGTAACAGATCAGGATATTATTTCCCCTGCAATAAAGCCATATATTCTACTACTATTTGATGTATGCTGTTTGATGCCAGCAGGGAGTAATGGATCAGTGCCATGAATCAACTTTCCAGACTCTCATTCACTGGCTGATTTTAGCTCTCTTGTGTTAGCTTTGCTAATCATTATGCCAGGAGACACTGGGTCACAAACTGCAATTTCTTCGTCCACTGAGTAATTCTCAATTACAGACAGGCTTTCTGAAGGGATAAGAGTTCTCAGAATAATAAAATGAACTGAGAGGAGCTGGACCCATTGATTACAACAGAAATTTTAAAAGATGCATTTTATATATTATGTACAGCTTTATGAAGGTGGTGACTATGTTTCCTATATCCATTAACCTCTCCCAGATGTAGTAAAGGTGCTCCTGCCACACAGCGTGACACAACTGCACCACTGTGCATCCCCATTTCCTCACACCTTCATAAGGTGGCTGGATCTGTCTCTCTATAACCTAAATCCAATGGTGCTCAAACCTCCTTAGGCAATGAGTAGCCCTCAACACACATTGTGTTTTCACTCTTGCTTTCCAGTGGATAGAGCAAGAGCCTTAGAAACTATCTGAATTTATCATATACATTTAATTGGTTTTGTTTATTTTAAAGCAGATATGGCATTTCTTTCATATGGAGTGTGAATATCATAGAAAAGACAAACCTCATTTGGCAGAGGAATTCTCAGATTTGAGAAATATGTAAAGAAATTTGAATCCAGTTAAAATGGGGGTTACAAAATTACTCAGTTTGGTCTTCATAATTAAAACTTTGTGTGTGCTGCTACAGATACTGTCAGTAGTGCAGACACAGTTTTTAAATTCTGAGTATTCATCAGGTTGGACCTGGATGATTCTATTACATCCAAGAGTGTCTTCTGCCTTGCACTTATTACCCAGAACTCACCACTAAAATTATAACGTTGTTAATGTTTACGAGCGCTTAAGTGATATGTTTACATAAAACAATTCAATTGAAGCACAAAAATAATATGCTTTGCCAACAGAAGATGGCTTGCACTTAATTTTGTTTGAAAACCTGTCATAACTTACAAATTTTAAATAATATTCAGAGTAATATAATAAAGTTGCAAGCACAATATTCCCTTCTTTTATTTCATCTGATCCATTGCCAGAATATCTGTTCTCATTTACAAGGTACATAAAACCTTTAATGCATACCTTTTATTCTAAGCAGATGAGGGACAGAGACCAAACTGAAAAGGTGCAAAGGAGTGGAGGGGCACATCCTGAACTGAGGCCCTGAGAGACTGATCTTGGTCCTGTGCAGAAATGAGGTGCCTGGTATAGGGATAGGAATTCACAGTGTAGGCTAAGGCACTGCCATGTAACAGAGTGTGAGGGAGAGGACACAGATGGCAGACCTAGTCCTGTGATAATGGTGATGCTAACCCCAGGCTGAGGAGATGTCAGCACTAAGTCAGATTCTCTAACTCATGTCAGGATAGCATGAGCCTGCAAGTGCCATTTGGATATACCCTTGGACAGCTACTCTACTGAACCACTTCATTGTCTGAGAATGATAACAAATTTAAATTAGTCCAAGAATACTCTGATTTTTAGGGTTTTTTTAATAATAAAGGAGAAGTTAACATAAAAAATATGCAGAAACTCTAGCTTACCAGCCCAGTTTTAAGCCCATTGCTTGTGTGTGCACTTGGACTCAATGACAAAGACACTCACACAGGCTGTCAGGTCATATTTTCCTTGTATGTGTAACAAAGAGTATATACTAGTTTGTGTACAAAGGTAAATCAATCAACTCTCCACTTTATAAGCTAAAATTTTTTCAAAGTATTTTATTATTTATTATTAAGAAAGTTACACATTACTTAAGAATGTTACATAAGAAGCAGTTTAATACCATTTAAGAAAGTTTTATTTTGTTAAAGCCATGATCTACCTTGTCAAAAGAGGTAAGCAGGTACCCAAACCAGCACATTTGCTCTCTTCACCTCATAGATAGTGTCTCGCAATATGTCAGACAAGGAGTATGTGGCTCATTAGATCCAACCAGATCCCAGGGCTGCACGAGGATCAGTTTTAATCTACCGAGCACTTTGGCTATTTTCTCTGCCCTGCGAACGCTGCTGTCTGGCTTCCTGCCTTGCTGCTTCCCCGCTAGCCTGGAGCAGCAGAGACTGTGCACTCCAGTAAAACTGAAAAGTGAGAAGCTATGTGTCACTACCACCATGGGCAAGATTTAACGTGATTAGAGTTTTAACATCATTTATATGTTGCTGTCACAAATAGCAGTGGAAAGCAATCTAGGCAAAGTTCTGGAAGAGGAAACTGCATTTTGCCTGCGCCTGAAGGAACGAGAATCAGCTATTCCAGAACGCACATCCACATCCTGCCACCCCTTTTTCAGACTGTGTCTGCACTGCCCTTTCTTCAGTTGCTGTTGCTAAGGAGGCTTTGGGGGCGTATCAAAAAATGCACTGCTACAGGGGAATGTCACAGGCCAGCAAGAGCTGCAGTTCCCAGCCTCTGTTCCCACTTCACCCCTTGTATTAGCAAAGGAGGTGGTGACAGTGCCTGGGCTTGCCTGTATCTCTCCAGCCACATCTTCAACTTGCCTCCTGCATTTTCAGAAGTAGAGCATGACCTCGACCCTTAGACCTCACACTTTCAGTAGCCAAGGAGATCAGAAGATCTACTGAAGGTCATGGATATAAAATACACCGTGACCAAGAAACTAGGGTGGAAATAATATGGAGACATGGGAACTATGGAGGCTCAGAAGGTGGGCAGATATTCTCGTCTATGTTTTATGGAGTAAGGGATAATAGAAGAATTTCAGGAGAACAAATTTCATGGGTAGAAAAAGAACAACAAAGATCAGGAGGGGCTCGGGTAAAAATTAGCTTATTGACAAAATTTATGACTTTCTTCTTCAAGATCCCGAGCACACTTCAAGAGTGGAGGTGAATAAAGGTAGAAGAATAAAACCCACAAAACCCAGTATATCTTATACAGCACCCCAGTCTCACTTAGCTCACCTGTGTTCATGACACTAACATGTCATGGTCAGAAGTCAGACACAGGGCTGTGTTCAGAATGGCCCCATGTGCTGTGAGCTGAGTCACGGCAGCTGACAACCAGGGGTGAGGGGAAGGTTGTGGGGCTATGAACATACAAACGGCACAGATAGAATCAGGAAGCACATCAGATTTATGGGGTTCCCTTGCCTGACTTCTTGAAAATTCTGTAGAAATAACCTATTATCAGTATTGGTCTGTGTGTACACTGTATTGATTCAGCTGTGATGAACAGCAGAAAAGATTTTATTGCTGGTTTTCAATTATTGTTGTTTTACCAGTGATTAGTTCTAGGTAATATATTTTATCTTACACATATGCTTCCAAGGCATTTCCAAAAAAAATGCCCACTTAACCTAATATTTGGCAACCATTACCCATAATTAGATTTATTTATAAGTGCATAATTCATGTACACGGGATCACGAATAGAAGCATGACAGAGTAGAAGCTGACACTTCCAGAGTGATAATCTCTGTTCTTGAATAGTCAGCTCTTCAGTTGTCTCAGTAGGAACTGCAGTTGAAGACTGCAGAGAAAAGTCCTTGGTTTTCCCCTCTAGCACTGGTGAGACCACAGTCTAGACCTCCAGAGATCCCTTCCAACCTCAATATTCCGTTATTGTAAGAAAACTGAACTCATCCAAATCTAATTCAAAATGAGATTCCTTAAAATTTAAGTGGTCTGAGGTTTTTTCTTTGAACACAGATGTTTTCAGTTCAGAAAAATTAAGAAAATTTATACTCCTCATTAAATCAGAGCTCAGAAATATTTATTTTTTTCAGTGAAATAACAGAAGAAAAAAAGAACCCTAAACCAACAAACAAACCAAAAAAACCCAAAAGGTAGAAGAAGGATAGGACTCAGAGGACTACAAACTGAGACTCTGGAAGTGCTGTTGTAGTAGTAGGGAAACAGCAATCGAAAGTTTGATAGGAAAAGGAGTGACTTAGGCAGTCACCTGGAGAGTGTTCCCAGACCTGCTCTGAAGAGCAAAAGATAGAGGTCTTGATAATCACGCAATTAACTTTGAGGTTACAGTCTGAGGGACTGAGTTACTGAACTCGTACCACAGAGCAGGAGTAATTAGGTTTTGCATAAAGAAACCAACAAAACAAATATTTGCCCCATTGGCTATTACCTTCAAGTAACACATTTGTGCTCAGAACTGAAGGGCCTTTTCCATTCCTACAGTTCATCCATGAACCTGAAAGTACTGCATATTCCAATACTACCTTTTTTTTTTTTCCAAACAGCCACCATATCTTTTGAAACTGTTTCACTTCACATAAAATATTTAAGAACTCAATAGAACCTGGGCTGAAACTAATTTTCTTTGGGGACTGTTGTAACTGTTATCATGTATTTTTCATTTAGTCCATCTATTCTTAAAGTATTCAGATACTTTTACTTTTATCTGCAAAGCAGATAAGTATCTGGAAAAAGACACACTAAGAAGGACCTCTCAGAGAATTTTCTGTTTTAATTATTTTAAATATTGCCTTGGGACATTTGGGCCATCAAATCTATGCAACAAATCAGACAGACAGAGGCATTCAGGCAGATTACACTACAGGTGAATGTTTCAGCAATGGCTTATTGCCCACGAAGCCAAGCAAATTCTGCTACCTGGCTTCCGTCACAAACCAAATGTGGGATCAGGTCGTGACATCAAGACAGACAGAGGGGCATTCCCACTGTCAACTCTGCTGCTGCTGAGGCTCAGAACAGATTACGGCATCACGACATTGCTGGTTCTGTTCAAATAATGTCATTATAAGCAGAAGGGAGGTTTCCATGGAGATACAGATGCCTCTACATCCTGCCCACGACAGGTGAATTCAGTCAGAAAAGAGTCCCTGGTCTTTATCATTTGCTAGTGCTGATGTAGCAATGTAGCAGCAAATCAAGGCCCTTGACATTTATCAGTCAAAAAAGGTGTCATTACTAGCTTGGTCTAATGACATTATCAGACTATAGTACAACAGCACCTGGAAGATGAACACTTAAAATTTAACAGCAAGGTCTTGGACGGATTTAAAGGAAGAGAGAGGTGGTAAATGATAGCCAAGAATTGTTCAAGAAGATAACAGGCCTTTGGAGAAAGGAACAGTTTCATCTGAACAACCACAGAGATTAGGATGAGTTTCAGGTCAAACTTATAATACCTGGTCTTTCCCTACTTAAAACATAGTTTATTTGGAAATAAAGCATCAGATATTGGAAGTGCAATAAACAGAGAAAGAAACTGATTTTCTGCCCTCATTTATGTGAGAATCTGTTTAACAATTCAAGGAGGCTTAACCGTGTCATAACCTGCACTTTATCATACTATCATACTACCCTGCAATTGAATTACTGTGACACGTAGGTACTATTCATTGAAGAATTACAGTGTGCTTCCCTAAAACACAACTTTCTTTGAGGCTTTCTTTATGGGATTATTTTCTTATTCTAGTGCAATATTTAAGAATATAAGTAACTACTATATTGTTTTGGGTATTGTGTGAGATTATAGAATCACAGAACAGTTTAGGTTGGAAAGGACCTTAAAGATTATCTCATTCCATCCGTACCATGGGCAGGGATACCTGCCACTAGGTCAGGTTACTCAAAGCCCCATTCACCCTGGCCTTGAACACCTCCAGGGAGGGGGCAGATCAACTCTTCTAAATTATGTAAAACAAAGTTGGAACTTTTTTCCAGCTGCACACTGGCTTTGTTTAACTGGATCCCATAAGAGCATAAGTTCTGCTGAATTCAGACTTCTTGACTTGGTTCAGACTCTGACTTTGTTCATAGTACAGAAATTTCATTTATCACCTTACTGAAAGGACAATATGACTGTTAGTAAAAATAGCATTAGCCATTGTCAAGGATTTCAGAAGTTGTCTGTCTGTTGTCATAATTTTCTCTTTGAAATCTCATTGATACATTCAGTTACCACAGCAATACTGTGATAAACTATGAATATGTATGATACAACAACTCAAAATAAAGATGCGTACACCATAAAGAATTACCTGAAATATTGCATGCATCTTCAACAACATTCCAGACACTCTCACATCCATTTGCAGCATTTATACACTGCTCCCTCAAATGCAGACAGTCAGCAGTCTGGACAGTAGATATACATGGGAAATACATGAACAAAACTGTGAAAACAGAATACAGTGTTATATAGTTAATACAGCAGATATTGTACTGACCTTTTTCCTTTACACCTTTTCCCTTTTTACAGATTACAAAAATAGAATTTACTGTAGTTTATCTATAGATTCAAGTTTTCTGTCAAGTTACTTTTTAACAGAAGAAATCTTTTCCTCAGTTTTGCAACTCGAAAATTAAATTTAAATTTTTGAAGTTGCAGTGTGGCATATTTTGCATTGTTTTACCCCAGTATTATAACATCAACCATAGCTATATATGACATCAGTGCACAGACATATTAAAATTACGGCAGTTCTAAGATACATAATAAATTACACAAAGAAAAACAGTATAAAATTCAGAGGAAACAGCATTTTCTTTGCATGAAATCTCACCAAGCTAGATTATACTGGAATTCCTGTGAATAAACTATGTGAAAGATTTGACAGGTATACAATTGTTAGACAAAAAATGCAATTTTATTTTATTATAGAGTATTCTTCACTCTCTTTGTTTTTACTTCACAGATTCATTATTTCTTGAAAACACCAACTCCCAGTTTATGTCTTTATCTGCTTCCCTGGGGGCACTGAGCCTGTTAATTGCATAAAAAAGTTCTGAAACTGAGGACTGATATGGAGGTTTCAAGGTAAAAAATTTTAAAGCATCACCACCTGTGACTTATCAGTAGAAAATTAAGTTGCCCTGCTAAGAAAAGAAAAAAAAAAAATCACCTGGGGTTTCATCAACATTCCCATGGTAACAGAACTTCTAAATTGTAACCACATGCCTTTATTTTCTATAAAACTAAGCTTCAGACACTGATTTCAGGCTTTATCAAACTAGCTGCTGAACACCTGATGCGAGTGTTTTCCTCAGTTGTTGAAGGACACAGCATCTTCCAGACCAAGTGTCCTTTTTCCCCCCCCCCCCCCATGTTTAGGTAAATTCATATGGAATTTGAGTAGTTTCCAGCAGTGTTTAATCCCTTAAACATCATGTGCAAGAGGCATGAAATATTCCTTCAAGACTTGTCCAGACCCTACTGGGAGAAATTAAATTTTTCCAATGATACATTTTAGAGTAAGAAATTACATATAAAATATTCATCTAAATAATCTTAAAGAGCCAGTACTGTTTAGAAGTGATGACATCCCTTCTGGAAATGATATTTACCAGTGATATAATAGTGCTGCTGTAGGGAACACTTTCTGGATGCATGTTGATAAATATAAAGCAACATTTAATACTTTATAATTGACAGGTACAACAGCATCTAGTGTCCCTACGAGCCAAAGAGGCCATATACGCTTATTATAGCCGGTGCTAATCCTTCCTCAGTTGTGCATATTCCTGCCAGTTCTCAGATCTATGCAAGACTGGTGATGATTTCAGTGACTTCCAGCCTGAAATACTCTTTTAGGCTGTGTCTGTATGTGAACCTTGAAAACTGATTGATAGAAACAGCTCCTGCCTCTTGACATTGAGGAATGGGCAGCTGGCCCATCCATAGGAACAATTTCGGCTGATTAAGACAACATTTTAGTTCTGCAACTGTCTCCAAAAGGTCTAACTGTGAAATTACTCACTATTTATTCAGATGACAGAAGAAAAAATGTTGTCAAATACTTAATGGGTGAAAATGACTCTCTATATAAGACAATACAAAATTACAAATGCAGGAACTTATGAAGAAAAGGTACTTTGCTGGATTATCATTTGCTATTTTGTAGGTACTGATGTAACAGAAGATTTATGCATCTGATTAGGATTTGCAGCACAAAGACTCTGTGCTGTCTCCCTCCTGTTCCAACAGCTTTCGAGGAGCAGCGGCTGAAAATGGATACTCAAACTAGGACTGACTGAGCAGCCAACTAGCAGCACCTGCTCCTTTATAAGGATTATTTCAGACTATTGCTTATTTCAAACCCACCTGGAAACTGTGCCCCCAAAAACAAGGATATGCTTTTGCAAAATAAAGAGCTGAGTAGCATAATTGATGATTGAAGGCAATTCAGTCTAAGAAAGGGCTTCGCTAGGTCTAATGATATATTATGGATGTGTCATTTGTTTCCTTAGCAGTACGGAGGGGTACACTGCCAGAGGTACACATGAAACACTGTCCTATATGATTTTAGAATCCAGTGCACTATAGCTTATACAATTGCTTAAATTTACAGTTATTACTTTAGTCATTCACTTTAGTTATTTACTCTAGTGTTTGGAATACTGACTGTTTCCTGCTTAAAAGAGTTCAGGGCATCTTCGTAGCTAAAACTTTTATAGGGACCCATTTTGACAAGAAGACACATATATTTAACTTTCTACAGATGTCTGTATTTTTATGCAAGTGACTATTGATTCATTGTATAGGTGTAAAATTCCATGTTCTGTAGAATCTGGTGTCTAAAGTGAAAAGGGGAGAAAAAAAAGAACATTTTAGCACCTGCATTTTGCAGATTGGGAACTGAGGAATTACATTTCCCAGTTCTGAGACTGCAGAATTATTCTCTGCCAGGTAATAATGAAAAATATCAAACAAAGCTGTGGTTTCTATCCAATGGCAAGACCAGCAAGATAGCTAGCTCCAAAGGAGAATGGCAAACTACAGCTGAATATACTTTGAATATAGTTGAAAAGCAATAAAGGACAATTTTACTCTAACAAGAGCTCGGGAAGAACTACATACAAAATATTTTTGACAATGGAATACAAGTTTACAATAGTGGGGTTTTGAGAAGAGGAAGAATAAATAAATAAATAAATAAACAACAACAACAAAAACCTCACCAGAAATAAAAATATACTTGTCTCATTTTATTCTCTTCTACCAAATCCTTCTGTGCCAGCTTTGTCGATTTTCCCTGTTTTTCCACTCACACCCAAAGGAAGTGTCAGCAGCGCTCCATGTAGCACCGCCAGCACCCAGCACTCTCCAGTCAGCAAACAAGTGGCTGTTTACTCAGACAAGGTGTCCCATCCGTGGGGCTCCTCACCGGTTCGGCTCCTCACCGCCGCCCTGCCGTGCCTTACCTCACCCCTGCTGCAGAGGCGCTCCCCGGGGCCGGGCTGCCAGACCCTGTCCAAGCCGGTGCGAATCCCGACAGGTCTCTGGGAGGCTCCCCAGGAGCAGGAGAGGGGATGGAGCCGAAAGGGGAACCCACAGAGAGGAGCTATGGGGAGGCTCGGGTCCCGGCGGGGCTGGGGTCCCCTCCCGCCCCCCGCACTTACCGAGGCCGAGGAGCGCGGCCATGGCCGGCCGGGCCGTGCAGCCCCGCAGGTCGCGCCGGCGGCAGGTGCGGGAGCGGCGCCGCCCCTTGAGCCCCGCGCCGGGCACAGCGCCCCGCCCGCCCCGCCACAGCCGCGCCTCGCACTCCGCCCGCCGCCGCCGGGCCGGGGGACTGTGGTATTTTCCACGGGATGTGGCACTCCGTCCGCGTTCAGTTCTCACTTGATTTCCAGAGAAACTAACAGAGCGAGTCTGGCTGCTGCCTGTAAGCTCTTTAGAAAATGCCTGTTGCTGTGTCCGATCATCTGCTGCAAGAACTTTTCAACACGTTTTAGAAGTGAATTTGTTTGTTTTCGTCTCAGGTGTGGAATAGGACCGTGATCTGTTAAGGAGAAGGAAGACCTGTGGAACATGTTAAGACTCAGACCAGGGGAACAACTAACCAGTTGTTAGTCTAGATCCAGACTGGATTCTGAGTCTGGATCTAGACTGGATTGTGAGTCTAACTTCAGGAGTTTCACTAAAATACATCAAAAACAGTTTGCCATACAATAGTCAGTAGCTGACTTAGTACTTAATAAAAAATAAATCAACCATAATGCATGCAATCATACACCTGCTGGCTTCAGTGTGTGCTCTTTGCTTTTGCCCTGAGAGGAGGAGGAAACAACAGATCTCTATTGATTTCTCCATGCTACTCATGAATCTTATTTTCACTACAGAACACTTTTAACTGGATTTGGTCCTTGAATGCTTAAAACAAAAAGCCATAATGGAACTTTCAGGTTATCTGTCAAAGAGATATAGTGGTTGAAATCCTGTGCCTATTGACAAACCCAAGTCCAGATTTTGCTTATTTTTTGTTTAGCTCAGGAAAATTCAGTGTTGCATATAATCTTATTTCTAACACGATTTTTTAGCTTATTTATTTTATTGCATTATTTATTTAAACTCCTAATGACAAAATTGCTAAATATTTGTTTGTTTTAAAATCATATTCAATACATCTTACCTCACCCAGTATATCCAACAGCCACAGAAAAACCTGTAGAAGTAGAAGGAACGGTCTGAGAGATGAATATAATTTTAGCTTTGAGACAAATTTTCAATTTGAGAGCTACCTTGGCCTTCAACCATAATAACATGCAGCAGTATGTTATCATACAGTGAGGGCTGAGTTAAGCTAATATTTAGTGTACTTTCCGTGCTATAAAGCACTTGCCAGGTTAATACCATGGATTTTTAATATAAACAATTTTGATAATATCAGAGAACAAGATGGTACCCTCTATGCAGTCCAGATGAAGAGGGAAAAAAAGCCTTTTTGGTGGTGGAGAGAAGGAGATATTATCTTGCACTCATTGTGACTGCAGGACACAAGCTTGTCACTACATTGACAACAGGAAAATAGGAAACAGGTCAAGATATCAGACCTCCAAGGCTGTGAAATATGTTGAGAGTCAAAGTACAAAAATGACCGTGGCACAACAATTTATATCTGCAGAAACAAATATGTTGTGATTTAAACTCCATGTTCACTGCTGCTGTGGCCGAGCAGAAACAATGGCATGAGAACTCCATTTCTGTGCTTCTAACCTGCCAGTGGAAATATTAGAATATCAAAACAGCTAGAGGCAATAAAACCCAATTAAGATTCAGCTTTCAGATAATTTTCAGTATTTTTACACTGGATAAGAAATGCTCATTCTTCACCTTTTTTCTTCTGATGGATAAGAAGTCCAGAATTTCCTTTAAGATGCTTTAATTTGTTTCACATGCAAAGGGCATTACATTCCATATTGCTCTTAAAATCTTACCCTCTCTTCTCACTGCCGTTTCTATCTCCATTAATAACTACTGCTTACTATTGGGTTTATTTCTCCCCGTGATTATTTTAATTAAAAAAGAAATACATCTGATTAATATTTTAAATGTATCCAAATATTTAGATCTTTCTGGAGTAAAAGGCCCTAAAACTGGCAAAGAACCCCCTACCACTACTATACACAAGAAGTCAACAGATTTTCAAATGCCTATGGAGTCTTTGCAATGAAATGGTGCCTGAAAACATATCAGAGCTAAAGAAGAAAAAGTCCAGGTAGTTCTCAAATTTTGTAAAACTAAAGAAATAACAACATGAATATTTGCATGAAAAATACTTATTTCATAGAATCCAGAAATTTTTGAATGAAAAGTCTTTTCATTAAAATAACCAAATCTTTCTCTTGATAACCATATTTAACCAATTTTTAGCTTGATAACCGTGGAAGTTCCCAGTCCTTAGTTAACACTCTACAGCTATCCTTAGAATTTCAAATCTTAGATAAGTTCTGTTTGTATAATTTGTATCTGAAAGATATGCTATTTACTCAACAAAAACTGTCCAGAGGAACACCCAGAATCATTTGTTAATGTCTCATTTTTTATTTATTTTCTCCACATAAAAACTACTGTTAAGTTAAAGTTATGGCTAAAAGAAATTCCTAAAAATGTTGGAATATTTTAATTTTGGAGATCTAAGTGAAAACAAGAAAAGAGAAAAAAGAGAACAAAAGAGACATTTTCTGTTACAAAAGAGAAAATTAAGGCCAGAACTTCCATTTCTAAGATGGCACAGAAGACCTGCAAGAGCCTAAAACTGCCTCAGAACCAACTTAACTAAGACAATTTATCCCACTGTCATTAAGGTAGCAACAAAAAGAAGACAGGTTGTGTTGGCAGGTGGTGTTCACCCCCCCGTTAGAAAGATGCTAATTAGGACTTTTCTATGAGTATCACTAACATTGTTGTTTTAGTTCCTTATGTCCTGGCCCAGGTGAGAAATACTGTACCCTTTCCCTTCCTGTTAATCTCACAGGGATCTGAGCAACACACCTGACAAGGCATAAGAATTTTGCTGGTCTTTTATGTGTGACCTGTGACCTTTTGTGTTTGAAAAGTATACCTACTCCCTTTCTATGCTGTCCAAGTTTTCTTGGATAACCAGGTACTTTCTGCATTCTTTCTTCAAGGAAAAGCTAAAAATACGTTTTCTGAACTTAAAGTGTAGCCTTCCAAAATTTGGGCTTAACTGACATTTTATAGCTCAAATAAATGATTGATGATAATAATTTTGCATCTAGATTACTAGTTTTAATTATTTTTTTTAAATTTTTACTTACTTATATGAAAACGGAAGAAAAACTTAGAGGACTTTTCAAATTCAATTTTCCTATTTCTGTAATGTTTTAATTCAACAGCTGTTTCTTCAATCAGTTCAAATTACATAGAAAAAAGTATATCTTGTTTCCCATTTTAAGAATTCTATATTATCTGTGGTTGAAGAGCAAAAATAGCTTTTTAATGGTAAAGGAACTGCAATAGCTATAAAACTAAATCCTGCTGTGCTTTTCACAATTATTTGGGTTTTCTATTCTTGGAAGAGACAAAGTAAAATAATTTCTTGAAATAACATTGACATAATAGCTATACTCAAACATGAAGCTTATACAGAGAAATATAGGAATTCCTATTATTTTATTTGATATTTAAACATTCTTTCCATTTAGATATTTCTCATTATTTTTTTAATTGAAAAAGAATATTCTCCTTTTTCTCTTTTAATAGAAAACTTTAATATATAAACAAATGCAATTTTTTTCTTTCAACACCAATGTAAACATGGAGCATTTGCAACAATGTCAAGTAAAACAGCTGTTGGGGGAGGCTAAAACATAAAGTGATTAAGCACTTCATAAAACTATAGCTGCCATGATAGATAATACATTGCATGACATTAGATCAAAGCAAAACCTAGAAAAAATATTTACATAAGTTATTCAAATAACATCTAGTCTGTGAATAGTTGGCTTTGTAGAAACATTTGAATACGCTAGACTTTTTTCTATGTCAAATGGTTTTTAGGGAAAAACAATTCCTCCCTCCCATCTTACCCTTTCTTTTGAAAAATCTGAACTGAAAAGCAAGAGTAGTACCACAGGGTAATTCTGACAGATTAGCCTTTTTCTAACCCATAGGCCACATTCATCTAGTAGACTAAGTCTCCAGTGATGCACCATCCTTTAAAAGAAAAATTGCAATACATAGTAGGAAGCCCCAGGCCAGGGAGATTATCCCATAATTGGAAAATGTATGAGTGAGTGCTTTATCTATCAGTCCAAAGAGATATCACCTCTATAATTTCCAGAGATAAATATTTTATTTCAATTGTTGAAAAAGTCAACATTTTCTTGGCATATAGATTTGTTAATTGATTGTATGTTTTTAATTTTAGTATCAAATGGCAGTTGAGAGAGAAATCAAGAAAACAAGAAAGATAACCAATGTTTTCTAAAGATCTTCAGAGATCTTCTGGAACAACACTTGCAGATATTATGGACTAAAATGAGCTACAAAAGTTAAAATGTGCTGTCCTTCAGGGGTGCTGACACTTCTTATTCCTATTGGCCTGAGCAGGAATTTTGAGCCTATAGCACCATTGAGCATCACGTAAGTTTTATTTAGATAGTTACTTTTTAGGCACTCAAGTCTGCAGAAAAAAAGAAAGGCTTTTAGTGTAAATTTATGAAAACATCTGTGACTTTCAGCACTTTGGGTTCACACTTCAGAAGCATGTCTGTGCTTGGAAAAGTAATGTGGACTCTCGCAAAATCAATCTGAAGTGAAAGATCCATAATGAACATAGAATTTATAGAAATAATTTATAGAAAGAGGATATAAATAAATGATGTTTGAGACTTTTTTCAAATATTTAGATTTCTTTATATGATACATTTTAGAACGTTCCACAGCATCTAAAATATATAAAAATAAATATCTACAGTATTTACAAAGTATGATACAATACAATCTTTAAAAAGACTTGTAAAGACGTGTTCTTTAGCTCATACTGAGGTAAGTAGGTTTCTATAAGACTGAGAAAAAATAGAATAGGCAGTTATTTTGAAGGAATCCCTTTGTCCAGTTGTTGTAGTCTGTATCACACCTAAAAGCATGTGCCACTCTCTGGTGCTTGTAGTGTATTGAGCCAAAGTCATCCTTGCTGTAACTCCAT